AAAAAAAAACAGTTTGGGAGCCAATTAGAGGAAAGATTCTAGTGCACGAGATGTTAAGTTTCCAGCATTGGATTGACTTTTCACTTGACCTTCCTCTTTCTGCTGCTAAACCCATCAAAGTTTCGATCTGATTTACTGCGTGTATAGATTACGGGTCGGTCTGCGCTAAAATCACTATATGTACATACATAAACTGCTATTCTCAACAGAACACATAAATATATCCTCACATGACTGCGGGCTTTTAAAAGAACTGCAACACACAGGTGACTACGACACTTTAAAGGCAACCTCAAGACTCACATTAAATATTTAAATATGATATTTTCATATACAATAGAAATACGGCTCTCTTCTCGTATTGCAACCCTGTATCCATGCCCAAGAGGGAAAACGCAACCTGGAACGAAGCGATTTGCCGTTATCTAAATAAAATCTATATTAGGCTGAGCCAAGGTAATAAAATACTCCTGCGTTTAATACCAGAAAATCAAGAGCGAGAAAGTGACACCTATGCGAGCGCTACATTTCGTATAAAAATCTTGGCCTGGGAGTTTGTGGTAGTGACGTATACAAATATGACAGGCTATAATTCCTTTGTGGCGTCTGTGGATGAGCCAAGCCCCAAAAAAAAAAAAAACCCTTAGTAATAATGCCTTGATATGGTGCCGAACAGTCTTTTGGTCCTGTATACAAGAAAGACGATCAGTCAGCACTGCATTCATTATCTGCCGAGTGCATGATGCTCTTTCTGCTTCTCGTTTTACAAGCCTTTGGCAATCCACACCCTGCGTACAAGTCGAACCTTTCAAGATATTGTGTCTCTCGGTTTCCTGTATATCAAATACAAGGCACAATAAAACGATAAAACCTACATTTTAAAGCACCTTTGGTTAAAGGGAGGTACTTTGGTTGAAATAAAAAGCTATAAACATCCAATTATTATTCTTGTTTGCTTATAGCTAGCAGAAAATAAACCAAAAAGACAGTCAAAGTAAGAAAGCAGGCTTTTTTTTTTAGCTTAAGCCGATGATATGAGCCAGACGATGCAGTGTATGAGCGCTCTGCCAGTCGTGTGGATTAGCCGCCTCCCCTCTCATGAATATTCATAGGGTCTGTGGTGGAGGGGCGGGGCACTGAGTGTTTCCATTTTTGGCAAGCTGGTGTAGAAATGAACACAGTGTCACAGAGATGTCTGAGGCAGATCGAGTGTGTGAGGGTTTTGCGTAGGCATAGAGGGGCTATGGATAGGGCCGCTCTACTGTACGAGCTTGGCGTCCAGTCGTAGCCAGTGCAGGCCCTGCCGCGTGAATCGCACCAGCTCAGTCATGCTGCTGGTGTTGAAGATGAGCGGGCCCATAGCCTTGTCCAGGTCGGAGAAGAACTCTGCGGAGAAGACCAAAGAGAAGAAGTCAAAACTGACAGTGTTTAGCAGGTGCTCACATCCGGATTCATGCAAGCAGAAAACAAGGGGGAAAAACAAGATCCTGAGCCAGAATCAAGTCACATTAAAGGGTTAGTTCACCCAAAAATTTAAATTAGGCTGCGTTTTACTCACCCCCCGAGGCATCCTAGGTGTATATGACTTTCTTCTTTCAGACGAATCCAGTCGGAGTTATATTAAAAATAGCCTTTGATCTTTCAAGCTGTTTAATGGCACTCAGCGGGTGTTGCATGCATCAGTCCAAAAGAAGTTAAATAAAAAGCACCCATCCATAAAAATTTTTTTTAAAGTGTCTCACACGGCTCCGGGGGGTGAACAAAGGCCTCCTGTAGCGAATCGATGCATTTTTGTAAGAAAAATATCCATATTCAAAACGTAATCATCACTTTAATCTAGCTTGTGCTCACTGTTGTAAACAGAAGCAGTTTCGAGGATTTGTAAAGGAGAATGTCGGAGGATTTCGATATAAGCCAAGAGGAGACTGGTTTTCCTTTGCTAAAGTAAGGAAACTTTGCTTCCTTTACTTCTGTAAACAAACATTGGTTTTCACGAGACTCACCGGCGCATGCACAGCGCTGACCTCATACATCATCCGCCCGGAGCCGCTTCTGTGTACAACTGTTGGTGCAAGTTACATTAAAGTGATTATTACGTTGTGAATATGGATATTTTTCTTACACTTTTTTTTTTTTTTTACAAACAGCTTTATACAAATTCATAATATTAGTGTTTACAATATCTTCATGCCTTATAGTTGCATTAAGCAGATTACAGCTGGACAACATTGTTAAATGTTTTTTTGGAATGTGTGATACTTTTTTCAGGATTCTTTGATTAATAAAAAGTAAAAAAAGAACAGCATTTATTTCAAATAGATTTTTTTTTAACTGTATAAAGTCTATATCCCTTTTTACTAATTTAACATTCTTGCGGATTAAAAGTATTAATTTCTTGAAAAAAAAGAAATAATTATTTTCTGACCCTGTAGTGTACATTCAAAAGAGTTCACTTTTTTACTTTTTAAGAATCCTGAAATAAGCATTACAGTCTCCAAAAAATATTAAGGAGCACAAAAGTTTCCACCATTGATAATAAAATCAGCATATGTGACCATAGACCACAAAACCAGTCATAAGGGTCAATTTTGTGAAATTGAGATTTATGCATCATCTGAAAGCTGAATAAATAATCTTTCCATTGATGTATGGTTTATATTTGGAATATTTGGCTGAGATCCAACTATTTGAAAATCTGGAATCTGAGGGTGCAAAAAAATCTAAATATTGAGAAAATCACCTTTAAAGTTGTCCAAATGAAGTTCTTAGCAATGCATATTACTAATCAAAAATTAAGTTTTAATATATTTACAGTAGGACATTTACAAAATATCTTCATGGAACATGATCTTTACTTAATATCCTAATGATAATTGGCATAAAAGAAAAATCGATAATTTTGACCCATACAATGTTTTTATTGCTACAAATATACCCCAGCGACTTAAGACTGCTTTTGTGCTCCAGAGTCACATATTATACTGATTTCTGAAGATCATGTGACACTGAAGACTGGAGTAATGATGCTGAAAATACAGCTGCGCATCACAGAAATAAATTACATTTTAAAGTATATTATAATAAAACACCAGCATTTTAAATTGTAATATTTCACAATTTTACAGTTTTTTCCCCTGCATCTTCTGATCAAATATATGCAGCCTTGATGAGCAGAAGAGACTTCTTTATAAAAAAAAAAAACTGATCCAAAAAACTAAATCACTGATCCAAACTTTTGAATAGCAGTGTACATCCAATTTTATATAAAATTCTGGGTGTTAATAACTACATTTAGCAACAAAAAAAAACAAAAAAAACAAGCAGCTGACAGCTATATATTGCTTTACATGACCGTACAGTATGTATGTTTGGGTAAAGTAGATGTACTATATATCCAACTTGTAATCTACTGATTCTGTAAGCAAATAACACAACAGACAATGCAATGCTTTCCATGGACATTCATGCTTGGTCAGAAATAGAATGACCGAAGAAAAGTCAGAAAAGCTGTGTAGAGTCACAAAACCACCTGAGTACAGCTTCAGGAAGAAGGAAATGGACTTAAAAGAATACCTCTCTGCTCTTTGGCGAGCTGTTCGGCCTGCTCCCACACCTCGATGGCGTAGAGGAAGTTGGAGGTGACCTGGACGTAGCTGGCTGCCATCTGGTGGATGCGCTGGGGGATGGTGACGGAGGAGCTGGTGCTCTGGCTGGAGCTGCTGGAGGAGTAGCTGCCCGCACTGCCAGGAGACAGTTTAGGAGAGACCGGAGACGGCATTCCCGCCGTTTTACTGCAGGACGCAGAGGACAGAGACGAGCATGAGTCAGGACACTTATGCATGATCAGCTATTCCCTTCTGTCCTCACTGGAAGTCTAATGTTTAAGAGACTAACTACCATGATTATTCATATATACAGGGTTTCTGCAGGTTTTATAAAGGCACATTTAAGACTTTAAAATGTAAAGAATCAACTGAGGAGAACTTAAGGCTTGAATAGCACTGCTTCCAAACACTAGAATATGGAATTTACTGCATCTTCATCACACGGAAAAGAAGTGATGCTCATCAGTATTTTGTCTTGTTTTCCGTGCAAATGTCTCAAGATATTTAAATCAAGAAGCAAAATGAAATGATAGGAAGCCTTGATCTGAGAAAATGAAGTGAGTTTATGATTAAAACAAGAATAAATATCTGCCAATGGGCTCAGAAAAAAAAAATAATAATCAAGAGGGAATTTGGGAAGTTTTTTTTTTTTTTTAAGCATAATCTCACAATTTTGTTATATTTTTTAATAATTTAATGTATCTTGATGTTTAGATATTTATACTGGAAAACAAATACTGAGGAAGATATTTATATATATATTTTTTGCAATGCATGCCATTAAATGTGCATTTTGCAATATTGGCTTATATTTCAAAAACAGAATATAGCACAACCTCACGTTTTAACGCTTTAAAGGCGAGTGTAAAAAAATTAAATATTACAGGTAATATCAATTTTGTTAATTTGCAAGTTATTCATTGTTTGTTATTGCTTAATGGCATATGAAAGCAGAGAGATATTACCCACTGGTACATTTTTGTTACTGTTTTTTTGTGTTTTCTGCACGAGGTTGCCAGGATGTTGCTAATGTGTTCTGAGTGTTGTTGCACACTGACATGCGGTTGCGGGTGGTATAATATTTACACCATCTACAATAATAATAATAATACAAACCAATGTAACTTACTTTGCTACTCCAGGAGAAGGAGCTTGGTTATTACTCAACGAATTCTGGAAGAAATAAAACCTTAGTTAATACATCTTGTATATGTTATGATTTTGAGAAACATTAACAATAATTAAATTTCACATCATAGTAACCTTTTGATAGACAAAAACTACAAGGTTTCATGTTTTCTGGAATTTTGTCATACTGGATATTTCAGACCTACACTACCGTTAAAAAGTTTGGGGTCAGTAAGATTTAAAAAAAAAAAAAAAAATGAATACTTTTATATTTAGCAAGGACATGTTAGATTGATCAAAAGACAGTAAAGAAATATCATCATTCGTGTTCAACAGTACAAAGAAACTCATACAATTTTGGAACAAGTGTAGTGCGAGTAAACAATGACAGGATTTTCATTTTTGGGTGAACTGTCTCCTTAACATCATTCTGTTGGAAATAGAAAATTACTCTTACTAAAGATTGTAAAAGCATACTAAGACCGGGCTGCTCGTTGTGTCATTAATAGCATCTCAGATAAACCTCGATTAAGTGTCTTCATATATTCTCAAATTCCTTCTTGTGTTCGTTTAGAGAGCCACTGATGTGTTTCTGCGACGTACCACAGCACCGCTAGCCTTTTGTCTGCAGAGGTTGCATCCGGCGCCAGGTAGCTCTTCAGCTTCATAGTGTACCTGCACAACACGCAAACAAGCGTTTGTCAGCAAACTCTGAAAGCACAACGAAGAGAGACGCTGGAGGAATAATCTGGCAACTTACTTGATGAGTTCCACAGTTTCTGCGTACATGGGGAAGGGCGATTTGGCCTCCTGGGCGCTTTTCTCCAGGGCGTTTCCACACTCGATGAAAGACACCACAGCATCCAGATAATACACGGCCTTCTCAAACCTGTCCATCTGTGGAAAGGACGATACACGTCAGAGACAAACCGAAAGCTGCGTCCCAAATGATGCACTATACTCTATGCACTCATGCACTATGTACTTAAGCACTATGTACTCAACCATGAAGTGTATGAATTATATAAGGTTATTTTGTCATTCCTAATCAGAGTCTGATGGCCCCTCCCCCTTCGCTACATAATTAAAGCTGCGACATTTGAGTGCATGAAGTGTCCAACATTCCACACTTCATTTTTTCGGTTATTTAAGTGCACTTTTTATTTTTGGAATTTTCAGTGTGAACGCACTACTCGCACTATTTATACTCCGTATAAATATTTATAAAACGTCATAGAATAGTGCATAAGTACACGATTTGGGACGCACCTTAACTCTATACAGATGCTTCTAAGCTCCATTCCAAATTATGTTACGAAATGTGTGAAAGATGTGCTCTAATGGACAATTGTCTTTTTTATGGACATGCATTATTTCTGACATATGGGTCAAAGATGAGGTGTCCAATTTGGTGTCTGCATCAATTTAAATTTACAAAAGTGATCGTATACATAGAAGGCATATTAAATGCAAGTAAAGCATCTAGGCGCGACACGACAAATCCCCGATAGTAAATTGCTGCCACGTTCCATTTATGACGTGCTGATACAAATTTCAAATGATTTTCCATGGTCGCTTTGTCTCGTCCAGTGTAGACAGTCTTTAGCTGATGTGGCGCGGCGCGACGGTGTAGACGTCCGGTGACACAGTGTAAGGAGAGATGACTGAGGAAGCTGAATAAATAAGCTTTCCATTGATGTATGGATTGTTAGGATCTGACAATATTTGGCTGAGAAACTATTTGAAAATCTGGAATCTGAGGGTGCAAAAAAAAATCTAAATATTGAGAAAATCTCCTTTAAATTTGTCCAAATGAAGTTCTTAGCAATGCATATTACTAATCAAAAATTAAGTTTTGATATATTTATGGTAGGAAATTTACTAAATATCTTCAAGGAACATGATCTTTACTTAATATCCTAATGATTTTTGGCATAAAAGAAAAATCGATAATTTTGACCCATACAATGTATTATTGGCTATTGCTACAAATATACCCCAGCGACTTAACACTGCTTTTGTGCTGCAGGGTCACATATGTGCTTTTTAAGTGATAATAAACAGCCAATATCCCAGTAATATTCATGCTAATAACCAACAAGTTAAGAGTGAGAATTGGACACTAAAGTGTTACCAATATTCTTATTAACTCACCAAAGTATTCAAAGAGAGAAGGGTACATAAAAAGCATGCATTTTAAGGTTAGACTTTAAATTGACGTTAAATTCACTATTGTATTGTGTATAAATGTCCTTCAGTCTATTCACAGTATTATGTTCAATTACATAAGAAGTAACTGTAATTACATTACAGAGAAAATAAGTGTAATCCCTTCCTTTACTTTTTCAAGGGAAAAGTAATTAAATGACTTAGTAATTAGTTACACCCAACACTGCAAATTCGCAGGTACATACTTTCGAAAAATGAAACAAGAAATCCACTATAGTTTGTCTTTAAGCTCTGTTTCAATGCTCGGGGAAAAAAGAAAGCATGCACGACTTACATCGACAGGCTGCGTTGGGATCTTGAGCTTGGTGAGGGAAGCCTTGCCATTGGGCTTCATTTCTCCCACAGCGCTGCTGTGTGATTGACCGCCGTACGACTCCGAGGAGGTCTTAGGCTCGGCCGTTTCCCGGTCGTCCATGGGCCGCACATAGGCGGTGGGTTTTTGGAGCATGGAGCTGGGTTTGATGAGCGAGGGCGGGAAGCTCTGGCTGGGATGCTGTCCACTGGAGAAGGAATGAACTCTTGAGGGCGAGTCCCAGTTGGCTTCTCTGTCCCTGGGCGACTTGGTGCGGCCGCGCGAGTGTCCGCCGGAGCTCATGGGGCCCTTGGCCGGGCTGGAGTGGGATTTGTGCTCGGAGCCGTGCTTGCTGGACTTCTTGCTGCTGCTGCTGTAGTCTCGCTCGTGCCGCTGACCGCCGCTGCGCTGACTGCTGCCGTGGCTGCCCTGCACGGATGAGCGCTTCTGCGAGGAGGAGGAAGTTGAGGTCGACGAGCAGGATGTGGAAGAGATGCCGCCGACTGGAGTCCATTTACTGTTCTGACTCTGGGCGCCTCCGCTACGCTGGTCAGCGTACTGGCCGGATTTATCGTCCGAGGAGGAGCTGGAGGCTTTGGGAATGAGTTTGGACATTGGGGGTTCACCGATGGTTTCCTTCATCTCGTCGTAATTTCCCAGCATGCTCTGGATGCGACTTGAGAGTTTATCTTCCTTTGAGGACTGTTGGGAGAAAAGAACTTGAGATGAGTGTGAGAACAACAACTCAAACACCAACTAGTACCATATAAAAATATGGATTCAAGTCTGTGTGTACAATTTTACAAACTTCAAACCGTGTCCATTTATGGTGACTAAATGGTCACATTTTACAACCTTTTTTGCGGTTTAAGTCAAACTGATGCCACTAGAAAGTACGCCAGCCCTCTTTGATTTACTGTAGTAACTAACTCCATTAACCTTGGCATTTTGGCAGAAACACTGCATATTCATATATTATTATATAGTTATTTAAGTGATGCACCGTAAATGAAAATTCAGGATGCACTTGGTCAAAAACCAAAAACGGAAATAACTATTATTTAATAATCAAGTAATTTATCAAATTTATTTAATCAACACTCAAATAAAAGCTGACTTGTATAAAGATTTAAATTGCACATAAGGCAGTTTTTTAATAACAGAATTATGTTTCTACAATTTATTGTTCACGTTCTGCACTTGCACATTTGCACTTCTTTCTACATATTTTAGTGACCTCTGAATAATAAATGGAATAAGCTTTTTTAGCTGCATTTGGAGGAGTGCGGATCTCTTTCATCTTTGTATATTTTGGATCTACGCACCATATGTTTTTGTCTACTGGATTGTTGGACGAGTGTTTGGCGCTACTGCCTTTTTTGTGGATTACAATTTATTGTTGAAATATAAACATGCAAACAATAAAACCCCATTAAACAAAAAAATTAATAATGTACATTAAATAATGAAAATAACAGATTGGTAAAAAAAATTATGAATATGCATATATTTAACAAAATGCTCCTTTATAGATTAATTTTATTCTAGCTGACTATCTTGAGGTAAATGTGACATTACATAACATTATTGTTTACAAGTGGTTTTAATGACGTCTCTCTGCAGTTGAAACACGGATTGAGACACAGCACATTTCTAAATGCTACAAATAATATTTAGCAAGAGCATCAACAGAAAGCAGCATAAAGGAAAAGACTGATCTTTAGTATTAAGAATCCATATTTGTATCGATTAAATTAACTATTTTGCCCTAAACCAGAATTTGCTCTTTTTCGGCCCCTGAAATTTCAGTGCATCACTAAATATAATTAAACATACTAAGGGGATTAAGGAAATATAATTACAACTATGGCAGTTTCTGAATTTTGTATTTAAAGTTTCTAAATGTTTTAGGCTACTATTTTTTAGTATAAAACTCATAGTTACATCTAATCATGGTAGTGAAGAATCATACATGGTTTAGTCCGTGCTTACTACAAATACCACTGTTGAAACTATGGAAACTATATAAATTACGATGGCAAATGTGTAGAATCAAAAGGCTTTAAAGTCTGTATCTTGCTACAATTATCTTCTGTGTAAAAGTCTTTTTTTAGTGGATATTTGTGTGAATACACTAAAATGTATACGAATACATATATGATTTGAAACTTGACTAGAAAGTAAGGCAAAAGAGTATCTGTAAACAACAAATCAGATGCTGTAATTTCAGCTGCACATTACGCTGTTAAAAATGATTTAGAGATAATGTTGAATCACATGACCAATAACACACTATGATTCAATATTCCCTGTCCTGTTTTATAACTTGATCTGTCCACAATGTTCGAGTCAAGCATACAGGAGCAAATTGTTACATGAAGTGTTTTTTGCACTACTACCCTCAATGAGTTCATCCAGAATAAACGAGTAATACATTACGTCCCATGTCAAAGCAGGGGTTTTATAGTTTTTGATAGTACACACCACTTCATCTCACCCCAAAAGGGAGAATACAGCTGTCTGTATTCTCTACTTGTCAGGTTGCATCTCTTGTATCCTGTGACAGGTTCACCACCAAAGTAAAGCACTTACCGCTGTGTAAATCTGGTTAGCAGCAAAGATTAGACCGTAATCTTCTTTAGTGTAACCTATGTGACTATTACATATGTGTCTTTTTCTCCCCATTGCAGCTTTATATCAGCCCAATTAGAATGAAAACCCCCATGAACGAAGTCAATTGATCACATCCCGAAATACTAGCTAAAAATTAAAAGATAGGTCAGAAGGAATGCAATGAAATTAAATTGGTTCTTGTAGCATCTGACAGTTGATCACCTCAATGCTAAAAATAGAGTTACAATATTAATGACGCATTTCCACTCCAAATTTAGTCCAATAAGCCTTACAGAAAGAGCAGCAAAACATGGTTGCAAAAAACATGCTGTAATTTCAGCTGCACATTACGCTGTTAAAAATGATTTAGAGATAATGTTGAATCACATGACCAATAACACACTATGATTCAATATTCCCTGTCCTGTTTTATAACTTGATCTGTCCACAATGTTCGAGTCAAGCATACAGGAGCAAATTGTTACATGAAGTGTTTTTTGCACTACTACCCTCAATGAGTTCATCCAGAATAAACGAGTAATACATTACGTCCCATGTCAAAGCAGGGGTTTTATAGTTTTTGATAGTACACACCACTTCATCTCACCCCAAAAGGGAGAATACAGCTGTCTGTATTCTCTACTTGTCAGGTTGCATCTCTTGTATCCTGTGACAGGTTCACCACCAAAGTAAAGCACTTACCGCTGTGTAAATCTGGTTAGCAGCAAAGATTAGACCGTAATCTTCTTTAGTGTAACCTATGTGACTATTACATATGTGTCTTTTTCTCCCCATTGCAGCTTTATATCAGCCCAATTAGAATGAAAACCCCCATGAACGAAGTCAATTGATCACATCCCGAAATACTAGCTAAAAATTAAAAAATAGGTCAGAAGGAATGCAATGAAATTAAATTGGTTCTTGTAGCATCTGACGGTTGATCACCTCAATGCTAAAAATAGAGTTACAATATTAATGACGCATTTCCACTCCAAATTTAGTCCAATAAGCCTTACAGAAAGAGCAGCAAAACATGGTTGCAAAAAACAATAATAAAAGTCCTTATATACGTCCCACCCAAACTTCCTGTTAAAAACTGTCGACGCAGCAAAGACACTGTGCTTGTGAGGCAATTTCATGAGCTTATTAAATACATGCAAAACACAATTTGCAAAAATGTGCACTTTTCAACAACAACAAAAAAAAAAGTGTTCCACTATAAATAGGGGCAGAAATTGTGATAATTGTAACAATTCAAAAACTGAAATACAATTGTTCAAAAATGATTCCATTAACAAAGCTTCCTCAAAGTTCTGAGTTCATGTTTGTTGTGTGCAACCAACAAGGACAACTAAATAAACGTACCGTCTTGATATTACTTCATGGAACACTTTTCTCTCTCTCTCATCACTTGAGATCATCTGATGTAAAACCACGTAATTCCTTCGACCATGGTACTGAAAAAGAAGTCAAATGTTCTTTCCTTCCTCACTAAACCACACGATGCTTATTCCTGCAGAACTAGAAAGTGGGCAACAGGAGATTTGCTGAGCACTTACCACACATTTAGGACAGAAAGTTAACCGGCCACTAACTATATCAGCCAGACATATTTAAAAGTAGCTATACTGTTACTGAAAATCTCAAGCTGATGCATCTACAATGCAAGTACTTACCCATAAAATGCCCTGTAATTACCATTAGGATTGAAATAGCGAATGAAACCCGTCGCCAATAAAAACAGTACAATGCATGGTTTTTGGGACACGGTAGAATTGTTTGAAGCACAAAGCGATAGATACATATATAGTAAACGCGATTCATTTTGAGATTTTCATCCCTGATTGGAAACGGTTTCTAATTGGCCAATAAACAGATAGCTGTCACTAGATAATGTTTAAATTTAACAACTTACTTTGAAGCATCTTAGTTGCTATTTTGCATTTTATATAATATGCTGTAAATAATGATCATTTTAAAAGTAAAAACCTATTGGCCTTCCTCCACATGTTCAAAAATTTCAAGAGATCTAATGGGACATTTCCTGTAATTTTGCAGCTAAATGGTACCGTTTTTGCATGTAAAATAAATTCAGAAGTGAATTCTCAGTGTGAAAGCTCATATTGGTGGTTTTTCATAGAAATATGTTTTTTCTCATCAGTTATGTACATTAGGGTTTTAAGTTACACCTTATGTTAATTAATGTTTATTTTATTACTTTCGTGTTACTGTGTGTGCATGAAACATGCACTTTCTATATATAATTGTATAGAATATATATATTTAAGGTGGTTGTCGCTAAAACTGTTTTTAGTAATTTGTTAATTCATTCCATTTAACAATCATATTTTTACATTAAATGTAAGTTTAATCTGTAATGCATCATTTTGCTACTGCATTTTTGCAGTACAGTTCTGGCAAGCAAAGTTGGTGTTTTTTTACTGCTCATTTTTTTGGACAGTGCAACCATTAAATCACCCGAATCTGTCACGTTAGCATGATGCATACATTTTTCCAATAATTATGTAATGACCAAAGTTGCTGTATCACCACAGTGCTTTTATCTGTAAGGATTTTTCTGCTAAAGAGCAAGATTAATTGAGAATAGAAGCCAAAAAGGAACAACCTAAGATTAAATGAGGTCTTCACAGGGCAAAATAATAAATAAATAAATGATGATCAAATGGGGAAAAAAAAGAAGAAACAAAATGAACTTACTTTATAAGGTTCAGGAAAGAGGGGAGAGTTAGCTGGAAAGGCCTCTCCTCCCTGCTGGATTTCTTGATTTCTCCTTTCCCTTTCTTTCATACGGAGCATATTCCGGTCTTCACGGTTCATGTTGCTAACAACAGAGACACTAAGAGTCACTAAGCAGTGAAGAAGCAGAGGAAAAATTGCTTCCTGACACCTTGATCTACACCTGGATCTACTAAGATAAAGTTACACATTTGAACAACAAATGGAGACAAATAGACAAGATTACTGGAGACAATCAGACGTGCTTTCCCTTCAAAAAACAAGCCTGGACTGTCCTACAGAATAACAGACAACAGTCATGTAGCAGAACTCAAAAGTTAAAATTCAATCAAACACGGTTATTGGTAATACTGACTTGAATTCTGTCCATCTTTGTTGTACGCTGTGTGCTTCGGCTAACCCAACATTATATTACATACACACCATCATTATCTCCCTGCACCTCATTAATAACGAGAGGACTCACTAAAGTAGTTACAACATTCAGCCTATATTTAGCAAATGGAAATTCTGATGAAACTATAGCAAACAGAAACCTTTGAAAAAGGTGATTTCAAAAGTTAAGACATTTAAGGTTCGCATGAGACGTGCGTAATCGATGGTGTCAAGTGAAACTTCCCAAAAAACATTAGTCTGTAGTTTAGTCATTGGTAAAGACCATGTACACGTCATTCAAAAAGGCAGATTTTTACTTTAAAAATATTAATTATCAGTTCAGATCATTTTCTAAAATGTCATTCAAAACCACAACAGGTTGAAAACAACTCTTGTTGAAACATATGTTAATGAACTTTGTAGCTCAGGACTACATAGATAATATGCAGGTTTCCACTAATTTCTTAAGTAAAGGTATAGAAAGCTGGCAATAAATTAGTAATTATAGTCGCTGAAGCCATAACTACAGATTCATTTTACCTAGAGTTTCACAACAAAATCGAAGAGAGAACGAATATAAAGCAAGCAAAAGAAAGAGAGAGAAAAGAAAAAGAAAGGAACAGAGCAAAAACAGAGCAGGAGAGCAAAAAAAACAAATGTGAAGACAGAAAGAAAGAAAAAGAGACAGAAAGACAAAGAAAGACAGACAGACAGAAAGAAAAACAAAGAAAAAAGACAGAAAGAAAAAAAAAAAGACAGACATAGGGCTGTCGCGGTGAGGGAATTTCCCTTGTGGTAATTTTGAGTGGCTCATTAATGCCATATAGCTATTTAGTGTTGAAACAGGAAGTGAAGTAAACAGAAGAGAATGACAAAATAACGGTCCACATAACAGAACATAAACCTGACAATAAGATCGTTAGGCTATCGTTAGCCTATATGTATAACAGTTAGCCTAGTTATAATCTGATCTCTTAATCTGACTAGACAAGAGACTTTCTACTGATATTTCCACCAGCGCGCGTTCTAGACGGCTGTCAGTCAGTGCAGTTACATTGTTGTGCTACAAGGTGGTGGAAAGGGACTGTCAGTCAACTACACGTTCAAAAACACTGATTCATTCATTCAAAGAGACGTAATGAAACGCACTGTTAAAATCATTTTAACTTTGAGCGCCACTTTAGAAGGCTCAGCTGACCAGCTATGCGTCGATGCTAAGACAGAGATTTCGCTTTCCTTGAACATGACAACCTATTTTCACATATATGACTCGGCCTGGAGGACAGACGCAAGTAATCGCACAC